AAAACTACATAGAAAAGAAATGGTTCCTGATATTGCAAATAGAAATCACAGATGGACAGACAGACACGCATGTGTGTGCACGTGCACATGTGCATGTCTGTGTATGTATGACCGCCATTACTCCAAGAGGAAAGAACTTAGAAACCTGAAATTTTACACCCATACTAAGTGGAGCCTGAGGGTGCACACCTGGGTATTATTATTTATCTACGTGCGTGTGCGCATCCTTATATGCGAAAAACCACATAGAAATGTGATCACCATAGCTTGAAAAGGAAAGAACCTAGAAAACTGAAATTTTGCAACTTTACTAAGTGGACCTTGAGGGAGTGCACCTTCATATTTTTACTTATCCACGTGCATGCGCACATGCTTGTGCGAATCTTTTCAATGAGGCATGCTAACGAAAAACCACATAGAAAAGAAGTGGTTCCCTATATTACATATTACAGATATAAATCACAGACAGACATACAGAAAACAACAAATATTTTTTCCATTTTTATAGTTTATACATTTCATTTTAAAATTTTAGCCCATAGACTTTATTGACAATATTTGGTTATACATGATATATAAGCCATTGTTGGAACGCATTGTTACCAAAATGTACTGGCTTTTCTATATATTAGGAGTTGTTATATAAGGAACCACTTCTTTAATCATAATATTATAATAAATATAATATTATTATTATTATAGAGCGTGTCTGTATGTCTGTCTGTGATTTCTTTGGGAAAACAACCATTATTGTTTAACCTGAAGCACCGCAACAGTAAAAAATTGTAATCGATTATGATAAAATGTGACAGAAATATGCGTTATCAAATATAAATGTAAACTATTTAATGCAATGATAAAGTTCTTTGATAATAAATATTTCTTAATTTACCGTACTTTCTTTACGGCTTTTTTTATCTTTCTGGAAAACGTAAATATTTAAAATATTTTTTACTGTTTTCTCTGTGGTACTATAGGCTCAGAATACATACACTGACATAGCCATCTAGAATATATGCCCCCCCCTGCAGTGGCACAGGGGTATGTCTGTAGACTTACAATGCTAGAACCAGGGTTTCGATACCCATGATGGGCAGAGCACAGATAGCCCATTGTGTAGCTTTGTGCTTAATTACAAACAAACAAACAAGAATATGTGAACCTAATATCCCGAGCGAAGCCGGGCACTTTTGCTAGTCTATAATAATAGAAGGCGTGTCTGTGTGTGTGTGGCCACCATAACATATAGTTATTTGTAGAAACTGATAGGAGAAAATGAATATGGTTACTATGCCTTGCTTTCTTAAGAAAGTGTGAAAATAGTTATAGACTGATCCGAAGAATGAGGCTGGAGAGAGGATGACAGATTTTAATCATTCTTAGATATATTTCATTGTATAGTTATTTATGTGTTGGGATATTGGCGAGTAAAAAATTGTTTAAACAAGTTTTATAAAGTTTCACTGACGTTGTTTAGGTGATTCAAGATAATATAAAATCACTTGTTTGAAAAGACAACAGATTCACAGCCCTGACACGCTAACATATCCTACCTTATAGTCAAGTGAAAGGAGCAACTTTATAGGTCATTCTGGACAAGCAGATGACCATGACTGTGCATTTTAGTAGACTTGTGTCAGGTTGTAATAAAAATATATACTGCTACGACAACGGAAGTCACGTGACGCTAGTAACACGTCATAAACTTCTAGAACGTTCAAGTCCCTTCCTGAAGTCTCGAGAGGCAACTAGATATGCGGTAGTACTGTATATATAAGCCGCCAAGAATTGACGGCAACAATCTGTAATTGAACTGCAGACAGAGAGAGAGAGACATATTGTTGAGTGGAGCACGTGAGACGTTCGTTGTGAATTATAGCATTTGTTATAGCGCGACTGTGGAAATTAAGTGTGTCGCTAAAGTTTCATCCGAAAGAAATTATACGGGAAATTAACTAACGACTGGAGATGTAACAAATTGGTGTCAGAGAGTGGGACGGAAAAGAAAAAAAATGAAAACGAGAAGCAGCAAATCAAACTATAGCTTAGCAGATTTGATGGCAGCAATACACGAACAGCAGAAGAAACAAGAAGAACGAGAAAAGAAACAAGAAGAGAGATTACAGCAGTTGTTGGAGGAAAAAGAAAAGAAACAAGAAGAATGAGAAAAGAAACAAGAAGAGAGATTATAGCAGTGGTTGGAGGAAAAAGAAAAGAAACAAGAAGAGAGACAACAGCAGTTGCAAGAGAACCTGCAACAGTGGCAGCTGGAACAGCAAAATAAACAAGAGAGATTACAGCATTTGTTGGAGGAGAAAGAAATTAAACAAGAAGAGAGATTACAGCAGTAGCAACTGGAACAAGAAAGGAAACAGGAAGAAAGTCTCCAACAGTTGCAGTAACGTCAGCAGCAACTACAGGAAAGTCAACAACATTGGCAAGAAGTACAAATGGAAAACATTATTAAATTTAAAAGCGAATTAGATACATTAAAGGATGATTTATTGTCTTTTACACAAGGAGGATACATTAACCATCGACTTAATCAGCCCCAGACAATGGCAAGCCCCTTCCAGACCCCGCAGCTAAACCTTAATGCAGACATCTTTAGTCCTGTTAGAAGTCACATCCCAGATATGAATGTCAGCACACCCCTCTACTATGCAGGATGCAATGGCCAGAGCTCTTGAATTTGAATCTTATGTTAAGTCCAGCACAGACGTACCAAAGTTGGTACAGTCATCAGGATTCAAGGCCAGAAAAGGTCAGCTTTCAGAGAGGTTTGAGGGACTTTGCTG